TTGTAGATTTAGGAGCTTCTGACCACATGACTGGGGACACCTCACTGTTTCAAAAATACAGTAAGTGTAAAGAGGAGACTACTCAATCAGAATAGCGAATGGATCTCTTTCAAAAGTGGCAGGAATGGGTTCTGGGATTTTATCACCGCACTTTGACTCTTAATTTAGTTCTTTATGTTCTAAATCTTGATTGTAACTTACTGTCAGTAAGCAAACTATGTACATATTTGAATTGTGTGGCTAAGCTTGTTTATAACCTATATGAATTTCAAGATTTGGACTCGGAGAAGATGATTGGCAATGTTAGGATAAGCTCAGGACTGTACCTACTTCAACCTAATCCTTCTAGAGAACAAACTCACAATGCTGTCTCTGTAAGTCATTCAAACAATGATCGTGATATTATGCTGTGACACTATAGAGTGGGACATCCAAACTTTGTATACTTGAAAAAGTTGTTCCCTGTACTGTTCATGAATAAATATATTCGTAATTCTTTTCCTAGTTTACAATATAAACCTTCAAAACCATTCGCACTAATTCATAGCGATGTGTGGAGCCCCTCCAGGGTCACCAACATCACTGGAACTATGTGGTTTGTATCCTTTATTGATGATTATAGAAGAATAAGTTGGGTATTTCTTATGAAAAACAAATATGAAGTTGAACCTCTCTTTCAAAAGTTCCATGCTATGATTCGAACACAATTTCATACCCAAATTCAAGTACTCAAATCTAATAATGCATGTGACTATTTCAAAACAACCCTTGGTAAATACCTGACCGAACATGGGATTATTCACCAGAGTTCTTGTGTGCATACTTCACAACAAAATGGAGTAGCCGAAAGAAAAAACATGCACATTCTTGAGGTGGCTAGATCACTTATGTTTACCACTCATGTTCTTAAATTTCTTTGGGGAGAGGCTGTACTCATGGCTACCTACTTGATAAACCGAATGCCCTCCCGAGTCTTACGTTTTCAATCACCAAACACCACTCTCTCACGAGCTTTCCCTGAATCTCATCTCTTAAACACATTACCACACAAAGTATTTGGTTATTCAGCATATGTCCATATACATACCCATCTCGGAGGAAAACTTGACCCAAGAGCTCTCAAATGTATCTTTTTTGAATACTCGTCGAATAAAAAAGGATATAAATATCTAGTTCCAGACACCTATAAATTTTACAACACCATGGATGTCACATTCATTGAAAACCAATCATATTATCCCATAACTCATATTAAAAGGGAGAACTTTACTCAGAAATATCAGTTGTGGGATGTAAGCATACCTCCCATTTACCCACAGACTCTTACACTAGATTCTTTCCCTCTAGGGCCTGAAACTTCACATAAAGAATCTAACTCAATGATAGTAATAGTACATGCAAATTATAAGTTACGTGTCTACATTAGAAGAAACAAAGTTTGAGAAGGGAAAATATCTAACTCCACCGAGCTTTGCCATGAATCTATCCCCACTCCAGACATCCAGAAATTGACAGGTAATGATACTTCTATCCTTACTATTGATACTAACACTGATTTGCCTATTGCCTTGAGAAAAGGAACTTGAGCATGCACCAAGCATCCTATATAATTAGAGAAGTTATTTTTGGATTACCATGCGTTTGTGAACAGGCTAGATAGCAGTTCTCCAGAACCAAAAATAGTTCATGAAGCTCTTAAAATACCTAAATGGAGAATAATTGTTCAAGAGAAAATTAGAGTACTTGAGAAAAATGGAACATGGGAACTGTCAGATCTACCACCAGAAAAATATCAGGTAGGGTGCAAGTGGGTCTTTACAACTAAATACAATCTAGATGGAAGTATAAATCGACATAAGGCTCGCCTGGTAGCCAAATGCTTTACTCAATCCTATGGGATTGACTATCAGGAAACATTTGCTCCAGTAGCTAAATAAAACACAATTCGGGTACTTCTTTCACTCGTATCAAATCTTGATTGGCCACTTTATTAGCTAAATGTGAAGAATGTTTTCCTCAATGGTGATCTTGAGGAATAAGTATATATGGACATCCCACCAGGTATTGAACTAACTGACAGTCCCCAGAAGGTGTACAAACCAAAAAAAGCACTCTATGGTTTGAAGCAATCTCCAAGTGCATGGTTTAATAGATTTATAAAAGTAGAAAAATAAAAAGGATATGAGCAGTGTCAATCAGATCATACAATGTTTGTCAAACATTGAGCTTTAGGTAAGAAATCCATCTTAATTGTCTATGTGGAGGACATCATTCTTACAGGTGATCACATTGTAGAAATTCAGAGACTCAAAGAGTTCTTGGCCAAGGAATTTGAGATTAAAGACCTTGGGACACTTAGGTACTTTCTTGGGATGGAAGTAGCCCGATCAAAAAGAGAAATTTCTGTAGCACAACGAAAGTACGTCCTAGATCTTCTTAAAGAGACAGTAATGCTTGGGAGCAAGCCTGCAGACTCACCTATGGACCCAACAATCAAACTCGGGTCCAAAATCAGTGATAACACTGTTGATAAAGGAAGATATCATAGACTTGTTGGAAAACTCATCTACTTGGCACATACAAGACCTGACATTAGTTTTGCAGTTAGTGTGGTGAGCCAATTTATGAATCACCCAACTGAGGAACACATGAAACGCAGTATATCAC